TGATAATGCCCAACTAAAATTGTTTATAAAAGCTCAAAAGCTGTGCAGCACAACTCATTAATGCACTGGAAGTGTCACAGAACAAGACTCTGGGAACTCTGTTTTTTTAAAATCATAACTACTAAACTGAAGTTTTTAATATCATGTACAATAGGCTTTACTATAAAGATACAAGTACAATTTTTGGCACTTCTGTAAGACTCATTATCAGTGAGGAAATTAACCCTTCCCAAAACCAACATGATAAGTATAAATCACTTCAATTGAGTTATCTTGTGTCTTAAAATTGGACAATCCTAAATAAATTATCCTGTGACAAAACAGTAAAAACTTAACACAGAACTGATTATCCCTGACATGGTAACTTTTACATACATGAAATTAGTTCAAATCACTTTATCCTAACTTTTATAAATTGAAAATAGTTAGGGGGGTGAGGTTAAAAAAGTGATGAAGGACCCATAGTATCCTCCTCTGTTTTTCTGGGGAAAGAACACAATAATTCATCATACTCTAATCCACATAAAAGCATCCAAGCAAGCCATAAATCAAAGTCAGAATGTCATCTAAAACAAAGACATTTAGGACCTGTCTATTAAATCACTCAGTTACTTTTATATTTCTTAATGATGAGTAATATGCCACTTCATAGATTACGATGAACTTCCAAGACTGAGAGGACTGTCTAAAAATTTTCATTACTAAATTGAGACTATAGTAAAAATGTTAAATTGAAACTTTATCATATTCCTGAACCCACACAATGAAACAGACTTCAAGTATTCTTCAGTGTATCTAAAATAAAAGGATCCTGCCAGATCCAGTCTACTACTCTACTGCAAGTGATTGATGAGAATTTTGTAATGAAAATTACTCGCAAAGTAATTAACATTACAGACAATGCAAATTATGATATTCTTACATGGAAAAAAGCAGAATATTTTCTAATGAGGTATGTATTTTAATTTAAATATAGCAAATTTTACACTTCTGATTAGCAGGCATTTGCTCTGTCAGGACTATTCATTCTTTACTCAATCAGTTCCAGAGGGAAGACTCCAAATGATGCAGCAAATGCAGACATGGCATCCATTACAATTAAACAGCCAGCAAATGTAAACCTCACAACTTGTTTTCATATCACAATGACAGCATGTGGTAATGAACTTTCTGTTAAGAACTGTTAAGACCTGGAAAGGGAAAGAAATATATACTCCCAAATACTAATTATTCAGATGCTTAATACTCAACCTCTTCAAAAACCTGGAGATCAGCCAAAAAGTGTCATAAATGGTTTCACTTTGTTCAAGAACCTTATTTACCAGCATTCTTAATTTCTATTTGTGCAGATGCCATGCTTAGTATTTAGCAATGAAATAGCTAAATATAACAGCAATGCTAATTAGACCATCCATAAGCATTTGAGATTTTTTTTTATAACCTAGAATTCTCTATTAGATTCAGCTAAGGAATGTCAACCATGTCTGCTCCAGCCACCACAGAAGGTGGTCCTGTTTACGGGGGATAAAGGCGGTTGTGTTCCCAAGGGATGATGCAGACCCTCGACGTGTCAGTGGCAACACATTTTTCCTGCCTGAAATGTGACTGCTCAGCACCACAGCTGAAAACCTTTCAGTGTGCACCTACTGCTGCCCAAGCAAGTGTCCAGTGGCTCACCTCCACCACGGAGCAGTGGAGTTGCCTGATGGTAAATGAGAATTTAAGGTCTCCACCAACCGCAGCGCTGTGGGAACAGAGCGCTCCCGGCAGCAGGGGGAGGGAGGTTGGATGCTGAGCTCCCCTGGATGGGATCCGTGTGCCAGGGCACAGTTACAACACCAGACACTTATCTTCTGGCTTTGCCTCTCTCCCCTTTCCCCTCCTCAAACCTCACCCTAGAACTTCTACATCTTTTTGATGCAGAAATATGTTCCGCTTTGACAAACTCACTGTTACTTACAATGAGGCAGGATTTCTCACTGCTGTGCTGAAATGACTTAAAACAATGAACCAATTAAGAAAAAAACCTGTAGCTTAAATACCAAGAACAAAAAGCAGTAAGAAAACAACCTGAATCCTTCTTCCTCTACTGGGTGTTGTTCTATGCTACCAAAAAACCACTGAAACATCACAGACAACAACTCATTCTACTGAAATATACCAATACCCAGTGACCTCATGGGGGAAAAGGAGTTTTACCTCTAATGTATACATGTAAAACTAACACCCAAAAAGTCACCCACACATATAAATAAAATCACAATGCTTCCATGTAAAACCTGTAACTAAAACATCACCTACAGCTGATCTGAGATCTTTTTTTTTACAGTGATCACATATTTAAAAATTGCTCATTCCACTTGACTCTAGTGGTAATTACCAGTGGAAGTCTAGAAGTTTGGCCAATAGAGAAAAAAAAAAAGGAATAAATTTTAGAAATTTTACTAAATTATTCTGGCATGCTCTCATCTTTCAAACTCTGCAATGCTAAGATTGTTACAAAATCCAAAATAAAAATTGAGAACATACTGTGAATGTATTTAAAGTAAATTAAAATTATGGCTTCTTATTTTCTAGGATTATTTTCAAGACTTCACTGTATCACTTGATTCTATATGCTCGAAAATAGATAAGTTAACATTTTGAATATATTTAAGTTTTACTTACGTAAATCCATTAAAAAAAAAAAGAGAATGAGTTAAAACTCATCCATTTACCTTGAACTTTAATGAGCAGAACAGATATAATTTGTGGCATTAAAGTTATTCAGGCTCAATAAAAGCTAAAACTTGTCCTTGCTGAACGGTGAAATGAGATTTGCACGGCCTGTGTACGCCTTGTTTCCCACAATCGAAGTGTCACAGCACAAAACATTCTCCTGCATGGGGAGGTTTTGATACCCATTCCCCTGGTGAAAGTGTGAGAAAGATCTGAAAGAGTTATTGACAATTCATACAGTATCCCATATTCCATTAGGTAGTACAAGCAGAGAACATATCTTAACTCTGAAGGGAGATGAAGCAACAATGTTTTAAATTACTATTGACTCCACTAAATTTCCTGGTAATGTCAGAAGACTGTAGTCTGGCAGGTTCATAAGAGACTCAAGATGATACAGGAATCCAATTATGCCAAGTCTATTTAGTTGTCCTGTTTGCTAAGCCAAAGGTTAACGAGAACTGCACTGAAAAAACCTCCTGTGGTATTACAAAGTATTTTTTATGCTGCATAACATGCAAATGAAAAAGTATTTTAATCAAGTCTTTCTTTAACTCCTTAATTGCAATGGGGTACCTTACAAGACAGCAAATTAAAAACTCATGATGGAAAAATGTGATCTTAAAAATTTGCCATTGAACTCAAGAGATCATCATTAATTACTCAAGTAATTATTACTGAATATTTCTAATTTGGGAGAAAAAAAAAGTTCAGATCACAGGAGCATAGATAGTCATTGCTATCATTAAATCTTTATAAATAGTAAGCTACAGCCTCTAATTTTAGACAGAAATTAATTGTATTTTTGTTGGCAACACACTCCAGTCTGTTTACACAGCTGACAACTTCCAGCACCACCAGATTCGAGCAGTGAGCTTTGAGGACTCGTCTGCTTCAGAGCAGATGACTCAACATTCACCAATTTCATTAAAGATGAAAAGGGAAAAAATTCACCTGCAACAATGTCACTTGTAAAAAAATACTTAAAGCAGATTCATGAGTTTTACATATGTGAGGTATCAAGGGAAGAAGAAAGGGAGGGGAAAATATATGAAAACCTAACAGCTGTGGGAAAACAGATTAGAAGTGTTGAGTTTCCAATTCTTTTTTGGGCTAATGTAAACTAATAAAATGCTAAAATGGATCCACATTTCAAAGCCTGTAATTACCACATGACACCATTCTGTTATTTCAGACCTTACATCTATCAGCTCAGATATGCCCTTGAATACATGGACTGAGATTTACCCACCTTTCTCAAACTTAAATACTGTTTCTGCAAACACCACAGATACATTTTTCTAGTACACTGGAAATTCAGACAGCTTTTGCCTTTTGTTGTTTTTGTGGTTTTTTTTTTAATTGGTATAAATCCTTTTCCCAGAGCAAAGAAAGGAGCAGTCATATTCAAATAGCAATTCTCCCTTTACAAGAAGAGAGCAGAAATGGACAGGGAAGTAATGCATGGCAGATAATGGCAATATGAAAGAAACCAAACTCCAAATCCATTTTCACTTCGTAGAATGATCCGGTTCAATAAAAGCTTGATTTTTCCACATTTTTCTCAGGTCACAAAATCTACATACAACATAACTACATAATTATTTCACCCTTCTAGGCATTTTTTTAGTGGCTTGGTTGGATTTTTCTCTAAAGAAAGGCAGACCTCACTAGCTGGCACTGGGAACATACTAGCAGAAGGAAACTGAAAGAAATGCTGTAAAACACATTGTAAGGATGACCATGCAAGGAAGCAAGTCTGATATTTAATGGGATACTGCAGGTAAGTCCCACAATTTCATGAATTTGTGGGCAATGCTGAGTCAGGGGATTCTGTCACTGGTGGTGACCCGTCACTGATTTCAGCAGGAACAACTCCTGCTCTGAAGCCAGGCAGAGGCTTGAGCACAAACTGGGTCAGCTAATGTACTAAAAAATACCTAGATGTTCACTCAGAGCATACATAAAAATCAGGGCTTTTTGCCTGAAGTTCAATCACCCAACAGATTTCAACTTCCAAAACGCTGTGCAGCCTTGCTCCAGTCTAGAATGGCTGAAATGAAACATGAAACATGCACTGAGTCTGATAGACAGGAATCATTTCCCTGAGCTGCAGGCATCCAAACCTTGAGCATTTGTATGTTCCACACCAGAACTCTGAATGTGTGTGATGTTAAAGCACTGCATAAGGGACACTAAATGCTACTGAGTGACTCCAATCAAAAATCCATGTAAAATCAGCCTTTTCTAGGCAGGAATGAGATGGGAAGCAAGGAACTCACCGAGTCATCTGTGGCAGAAGAAGGCCAGCCCTCCCACAGCTGGTGACGGACAGGGATACTGGTCAGGTCATACACATTCCGCTTCACCTGGAAAAAAATAAAAATAAATCAGAACTTGCTCTAAAAAAGGCAGCCAAAGGGCTTTGTTTTCATCACAGAACCAAGCTTTTTATTTTTCCTGGTTATTGTAAAACTGGTTCTTCCAATGCTCGTAGATTCAAATATGGTCAGCACGTTTACACAGCCAAAAGCAAAAGCTTATCAAATGAGAAATACAATGAGTTTGCATGAGTTTCTTAAATAGGATCCAAAAATAGAAATCCATATATTAAACCTGAAAAAATTAATAAGCACATTTTCAATTAAGACAACACATTTCAGATATTTTTAAACAAAATGCTAAGTAATAGATTTTTACATCAACTCTTTTCTCATGCTATTAAATTAGAAGTTTACTCTTAATTATCTCACATGATGGTTAACAGAAAGAAGGGAGGGAGGGAAAAAGAAGAAAGAATTGAAAATTTTTAATAAAGAAAGAATACAACAAAATACAAGAATTATAAAACTCTTTCCATGAAAACATCACCACAATATAAAAGCAGGCAAGTTTTATCAGAGAATTTGTGATAAACAATTCTTTAAATCACAGAAAGAAGTATTTTGGTACTTACATGGAGAGTGGTATCTTAAATTCTGAATAATGTCTTACACCTGAACACAATGACTGCACAAACATTGTAAATATTGCCCAGCAGGACCACAGCTGTGAGCAATAAAATATTCCAGTGAGCCATGGCGGCTTTTCACAGGAATCTGAGAATGGTCTGGGGTGGAAGGAACTTTAAAGATCCTCTCATTTCAAACCACTGCCCTGGGCAGAGACATCTTCCACTACAAGATCTTGCTCAGAGCCCCATCCAAGCTGGTTTATTTTTGGTTTGCCTTTCATAAAATCCCTATATGAGAATACAAGGTCCTCCCACATTTTCAAAGGTCTAGACAGATCCCAACAACCTATATTGCATCCAGAAAAACATTCTCAAAGAGATAAAAAGAAGCTTTGATACTTTTAAGTATTATTTTGTATGATCATTCTCTAGCCAAAATATCTGAGCAAGTCTCAATTCTGCATCCTGGTCTCAGCTCCAAGAAGGCTGCACAGTCCAACACTAACAAACACAAGAACCCATTAAACCAAAAGATATTAAGGCAGATGGATATTTGACTTAAAGCAAATGACAAGGCTACTCCAGAAACTGTCCTTTGATGCCTTTAGATTTTCACTTGTTCACTTGTCAACAGGAAACAAACAGCAATTAATTGTGTTCTAACTTCTGCTATGAGAATTACTCAAATTTCCATGAACTGAAAGGAATTAGATTTATTATATTACAGCTGTCAGCAGGAAAAGGTCTTTGAGCTAGCACCCTGTCTGCAGTCTAGTGCACTTCCCCTGAGTTAACAACTTTTCTGAACAGAAAAATAGTTTGCAACAATCAGAAAGAAAGCTAAAATTTTCCAAAATTATAAATGCTAACATAATCCATTTAGATAAAGGTTTCATATTCCAGTAATAAATGAAAGAAAGATGATTCTACAGTACCATTCTCAGGAAGATAATACAGTAAGAAAGGTTTTTTATATCATTTATCCTACCTATTAATCAGTACTTGACATGTCTTCAGCACTGAAGCACAGTTGAGGTTTGACTCCAAGGTAAAGTAATATAAACATATGGAAAGTATGTATGCTCCCTCTAAAATTTGTCATTTATTTTTAGTACAGGATATATGAAGCATCTGGCAATAGATTTTCATCTAAAAATATTTTTGCATAATGAAATAACACCAAAACTCTTTCCCTGGATCATCTTTAGACACAAATGCTCCATGGACCCTTTCTTTTAAATTCTGCACAACACTAAATGGATGAAGAATATGTGTGCAGACAGTAAACAGTGAAACAATTGTTCTAACCACTGTAAATATCCTAACGACGGTGACGACAAGGCAGGGATTTTCACACAGAGTCTTCCTCACAAATGTTGATTTGGGCCACATTCGTCAAAAAATTCTTAACGGCACAGTCACAAGCTTGTCAAAAAATACCCACAACTGAAAACAATTGAGGACATATTGAGATCCAACACAAAGTACAGGTGCTCTTACTGTATTTTCAAATCTCCCCTTCAATTATTGTTGTTTTTCTCATTATTTTCAGTACTAGCAGTTATTTCATGCTCCTTATGAAAAACTGTGAAGCACTGTATCATTTCTGGACAGATTTCATACATAGGCTATGCAGATAAAAATTTCAATACCATCAGTTTAAAGCTTTCTCAATATAAATATTCTGCACAGTTCAGTGTTTTAGAATCATTAAGATATCTCTCAATTTTTTTCTAAAACTGGTAAATTACATGTACACATGATAACCTTTATGTTAATATTAGTTTTGTTCAGGAGTTTTTGCAGGGAGACTGACCTAGGAACTATGCTTCAATTAAAAAAAAATTACAACTATATTTTAACTAAAAAAATTGAAACAAGAACTTTGAGTCTTTTAAGACACAGAATACTGAAGTATCTAATAGCAATGCAAGTGCATTTCACTTTAGTGCTTCCTCAGAGTTTCTTTGCTGGCTTTGTAAAGAAATGTTGCTTCCTACTACCTCACAACAACCCAAAATGTAACAATCCTGACCTGTGTGATCACAAGGACACAGTTCTTGCTGGTTTCATTTTCTGTCATTAAAAACCAGGATAAACTGTCCCTGTGAAATATTTATTTTCCAGCTACACACCAGAAATAGTATTATTTTCACAATATAAAACTCTGAAGTGCACTATTTTTAAATAACAAGTGAAAGTTATTTACAGAAACATGGGGTCAATAGGACTACATAATATTGTTTTCAAAAAGCCTTCAGAAGTAAAAATAAATAACTCGGAAGTCACATTCCTCAAATTCCCTTTTAATTCCAAAGCACAACAGAAAGGCATTATGAAAAAAACAGTATTTCCCTTCTTTCATTAACTCATCTGTAACTGCACTGAATTCAATAACATTCCTCTGCTATTCTAAGCTTGAAAGGCATGCTCGGGGTAAAGTGTTATGTTGGTATAAAGCACAATGCCAGACTGATGTGCTGGACAAAAGTGATCAAAGTTGAAGTAATTTTAGCCAAGGCACAAGTATTCTGCTGCATTATTCTACCAGAATGACATCTGTTGAGCAACTCGTCGCAGAATAAACCAGTTGTTCTAGGCAGGCCTGGCTGGGTAGGGGACCATGTAAGACTGATTAGAGTAATGTTTGATTAAACAAACTGCTTGAGTTAAGATCATAACTGGATTTGGAATTCATGCCAAAGTAGTCCTCTTTCAAACAACAAGCCACAATCAATTATTTAAGATAAAATAAGCTTGCTTTTAAATAATGATTTTATTTTTGGTTTCTTTGATAATTAGAACACTGTTACGAAAGCAGGCTGTAAAATGTTTGAGAGATTAGAATATTTACCAGTTGAGTACAGAAAACCCCTTTTCTTCATTAACTGACCTAATTTATGAAAGCAGACTGCAAAATGTTTGAGATATTATAATATTTACCAATTGAGTATAGAAAACCCCTTTTCTTCATTAACTGACCTAATTTCAGTTTAAAGTGAAAAACTCCATGGAGAGGGAAAAGTTCTAAAGATTTCTATAAAGCAGAACTGTGAACTGCTCCTACACTGGGCCAATAAAAATCTACAGCCACACTCTTCATGCAACTGAAAAAAGTTAGCCCAGTAAATGGACAAGGTCTGTGTTAAGGATTTTACTGATAAATTCACTTGGTATTGAGAGGAGGACCAAAATCTTTACTGTGTAAAGCAAACTCTAAACTGCAGTGCCATCCACTGAGCTACATTTATTGGCAAACTTTTTGGTCCTGCACTTTTGATCAGATTGAAATACAAATTGGTGGCATTGTCTTTGTGCAGCCCAGAATGTCTTTTCATAAAGCTCAGATGCCATGGTGACTGGCACATTACTATGGCAGCCACCCTTCAGATTATCATCTCCAGAATATAAGAGATCATTTAAAAACAAATTAAAGGCACATCTATTTGGTTTCACTACTCAGCTGTAAACAGTATCAATACAACCATTTAAACAAAAAAAAAGAAAAAAAAAGAAAAAAAAAGAAAAAAAAAAGAAAAAAATAGCTCATATATTTTTGCAGATGCAGTCTTACTTGGAAAATGATGTATAATTCCTGCAGAATGCCCTGCCTTGCTGGGAAACCACGTGAAGTTTTACCTTCAGTTCATTTCCTCTAGTTTTAGAAGGGAGTTAAAATATTAAAAAACTTCTAATATTTTAAGAAAACACGTATGTCAAAGTAGCCAACATACTCAGAGAACTTCCCAGACAGAGGCAGAATGTTACCTTCCCGTCTTTCACTGGTTTCTTTAAACAGATGAACATGTTGCTTTGAAATTAAGGTTAAACACAAAAGATACACTTTGTTTGCAGATATGAAGCTAGTCCGACATTCAAAGTCCTGCCACATTCATATTAGTAAGGATAAAGTGCAGCAAAATGTACCACAGGGCAAAAAGTCTGTACCAGGTACTGTGATGACAAGGACCTTCTGGTGATTGCACTCAGCAGGAATAAGTAGCTATTTTCTCATTTCTGAATTAGAAAAATCTGATACCTACTCTCAGAAAACAAAGACTTAACACTTCCTGAATGATTAAAAAAATTAAATTTATGCTGAATCATCAAAGAACTGTCATGCCTGAATCTGTATCTTTGAATCACAACAAATCACAACAAATTTTAACAGTAGTTTCCCTCAGGCTGTTTTCAGCTTATGCAGGTACAAAGTTAAGTGAAATAATGTACATAATGAACTTTTGTTAGTCTTATTATTAAATATAATTTATGCAAAGCTGTAAATTGGCTGAGATGCTAAAGACTGTTCCAGGCACATAGGCAGCATGAAAGACAGTGCAAAAATGAGTGCATGAAAGGCAGACAAAAGGAGCAATAAAGTCAGAGGACTGTGAGGAATGTGGAATGTGAGTTGGG